ATGATACTGTATAAAATTACGGTCAAACTTTGGCCACGCCATTTACAATTGAAGGAGAATTAGTAGAATTACTGACCTTTTATCATTTAAGTGATACTGCAGAAAAAGACGTTATGTATGAGAATCGATTTTGTGAAAATATCAAAATGAAAATAAAAACTACCATATATTATATTCATATTTTGTTTGTTCTTCTAAATGATAGGATTATAACAAAAGCTAAATGTTATATTCAATATATCCCAATTGTTTGAAAAACTGAACGCAACACTTATCGAGCGATGAGACAAATGAAAACCAAACTGACAACATATTTTGCGTAAGATCTAAGGCAGTAAGCAAAGACTTTCATATGGAGGAAGATAAGTACCCGCAAGCATACAAAATGATAGCAGAGTGTCCGAAAGATTTCAACGGCGCAGACGACATCAAAAAGAAATGCTATGCTGATATCCAAATAAAACAGACAAAAATGAATAATGTTGGACCTGATATGGTTGTCCCTGTGACTTCGCTAAAAACCAACTACACGTATAAAAATGAATATTGTTTACTTTGTAACAAAGGGGATGACGTATTACAAGACGCCATATTGTGGGACGTAATTTTTATCTCCTTTAACGCACGTCATACACTCGAAGACACGTATGAACCATATAGTTTGCTTAGATGTATGACTTCAAACACCCAAATTTATGGTTGTAATTTAATTTATCAACCAAGGAATCAGGTTGCAAACTTTACTAGATGTTACTAGATGTAGAAAAGTTGACGTCAAATCGTGCCCGAACGGCACCGACATTGATACTGTAGCAGCTTGCACTAGGTATCATTTGCCCGTTATTTCTAAACATTCGTATACAGAAGAGTCCACCGTATTTAACAACATTGCCTGTTATATGTGCAATCAAAACAAACTGTGAGCAAAGTTACCCTCCAGGAGTAAGTTATAGCAAGACATTGAACTTCGCAACAAAAAGTGGACACGTGTTTACAATAAGGCGGTACAACTCAACCGAACACCAGTTGTTGAATATTTCTTTTACTTGAAAAAGAAGCGGGGAGAATTTTACGATTGTAAATAAATCGATGTGAAGAGATGAATTAGACGAAGCCAGCCCGCATAGCTCAATCGTTTAGAGCGCGAGACTTGTAATCTCGACATTGTGGGTTCGATTCCCGGGCTGGCCAACTAAAATTACTAATCAGTCTTTCGGATGAGACTTTAAATCGAGGTCCCGTGTATGGGTGCTTAAACACTTGGCACGCTAAAGAACCAGGAGAAGCTTCTGGAATTTGGGCATCTTTCTGTATGTGTAATTGCACTATCCTCCAAAAATCTAAAATGACTAATATTATTCTGGGGGACTCGCCCATATGGGCAACCGGTGGCGAGTATAAATAAACGCAAATACACACACACATGAATAAGACGTTTTAAAGTGTATTTCGACGTGTGGGAAGACAAGCACCGTGTCCGGTATATACCGGAATACGATATTTACTAGTAGTATGGTGCTCCAACATCATTCTGTGTGCGCACTTTTGACAGTGTCATCATATACGTATAAACCAATTTTATCTTTGTCGCGAACTTTCATATCCTAGTATATAAATATAATGTGTTTATCAAGTTATGTTAATTTATTTTTGACTTGCTGAATCTGGTCCTTGGATTTGATTTCATATAATTGCAAATTAAATTGATGTGTCTATATCACGAATGTACAACATCCATTAAATGTTGCTAATGTTTGAAAGATTTGTATTTAATTTATAAAATTAGATACTGATTATGACTTATAATGTATGTATTACAATAAAGATAAGATACATTGTTGTCGAGAATGGTTTTGTTTGTTTTCTCGGTTGAAGATAGACGTCTTGCAGACGTTGATATTCTTCTGCCGCATCTTAACCACGGTTTTCATAAATTTATTATTCAAGACACATAATGTATATGTATTCAAAGTTTAAAGACATCAGTGGACATTTTGTTATGTGTTATAAAACTATAGTCAGTCTTCCCATCTCTGTGTGGACCAACTCTTAAATAGGACAGAACTGTCTTTAGGCTAGAGCTTTATAATACTTGGATACATCACAGTTAGGAAAATGCACTTATTACTACAAGTAGATGCCTGTGTCACTAGAAAATGTAGGTTAAATTGTGTATGCAATAAGGCTGTAAAGGACAATAAACCCACTCATATTCTTTGGATAATATACGTAATATCAAACAAGAGCACCAGAGATGGGAGCGTTGTTTTACCATCTAAGGTGTCAAAAATAGGCGTATCGATTTGTTATAATTTATATTTGGCAAGCCTTGTTTCTAAAAGATGCAAAACACCAATAACAAAAAAATACAGAATAGAAACAATGTCTAGATTTTAAATAAAATAAAACAACGGTCTACCATTGGTTCCGCCTACGCTGCCCGAGTATTAGCAAAATGTTCTAAATCGAACGTCCTCGGCTATTATTTTTGATAACGAGGACTGACGGAAAAAGCCGAAAAGTTACGATTCAAACATAGTTCTCCTGTTGGGATAACTCATTAAATGTCTTGCAAACAAAACGAATACTTTTGTCTGTGTAGTATATCGAAACGAAAGAGATGTAACAGTAGAACAGCATTGATTTAAGGTAGTCTTACTGCAATGCTTTCCCGTCAAAACAGTTCTAATATCGACCAATATCGTTATAAATCGGTCATTTCCGGAACGTTATTTTTCATAATTTTTGAACTTAGAAAATTCTACATTATCCAGGATGTTTAATAGTCGAGCGCACGATCCTATTGACTCTTGTTTCTTATTTATTAGCATCTTGCTATTACTTGAATCAAATACACACCTTGTTTAGTTAGGCTTATAGACGATTTATACAGCTCAAAACGAGCGACGTAGGCTCGACTGTAGCTATTTAAAACGTTTTCGTTCGTATTATTAGCTTCTTATTAAGTTGTTGACGCACGCGACGTGTTTATCACATAAAAAAGTCACGCAGTAGAAATATGATACAAAATTAGTCACCAATCGCACGTTGAAAGTAATTTGTGTGAATCATGAACCTTTGAACTTTACTTAAATTTTTGTACATTATTCTCTAAGTTCGATTTTCTTGAAGGAAGTTTTGCTCATCTGGAGGCATGCAGCACACATAATGACATACATACATAAACAGAGTAAAAATACTTTTGTTGCAAAGAAATTCAATACCATTTAGTATCCGTTCAAGAAATTCACAAATAATATTTATTTTTCAATGGCAGTGTTTGTCAAATTTGTTTGTTATATAAATTGATTATTGTTATATTTGTTGGGAATGTTTTTTGTCTTCTTTTTGTCTATGTTCTTTTTGTTGTTTGAAAGCGTTCAGAGAGCCACATTTAAACTTAAAATATAGTTTGTCTTTCGTACGATGCAATATGGTTATATGTTACCTTCTTAAAAGAAAGACATCATCATCATCATTTTGATCTTTTACTAATATTACATTTATCATTATTATTATTATCTTTATTATGATTATTAGTATTATTATTATTATATGTACTTGTAATTAACGTTGTTATTCGTGCGCATTCACGGTGTAGACGGCATTGTATACAAATCGTGTAAGCCAATGAAAATTGGAGAAATAAATTAGCATAATTATAATATGATTGAAATATACAAGGATGCTGCGATTGATGACAAAGATTTCCTAGTACATCCGTAATTTGCGATCTCTTGATATTTACAATGTAACACAAAGAGGCCAAAATTTAAATGTTTCACAACTTTAAGGTGAATCAAAAAATTTCTTAAAAACTCAAAAGAAAATGTTATAAGGAGAAGAAATGCGCAAAAAAGAAGAATTAAAATTATCCACGCAATTATATGCTTCATACGGTATAAATAGCTATAAAATTTGACCGGCTTTACATTTTATTATTATACTTTTTTGGTTTTCAAATGTTGACACTATTAAAGGGTGTTTTGTGATTTGTAAATGCATTTTGCCAGCTAACTTTTTATTAGCTGTTTATTTGACATCATTTTTCTCTAAAAGAAGATTTTCTATTATCCTTTATTTGAATATTTTTCTGTAAATAAACATTATCTAAATTTTGATCAAAAGAGTATAGGCGTGGAAATGTGCTTCTTTATATAAGATTCTGGAAACAAAGTGATCCCTCGGAAGCATAAATCATAACAAAATAACATAAGAATTGCAGACTCGGTTTGATTGAGTCTGCACATGAGGGATAATGAATAAGTGCAACATCCCTCACGCCCCCTAGCACCGGCTCTCTTTATATACGAGTTAAACATTGCAGTACTTAATTTTGATCTGCCTTTTTTATTTCTACATACATGAGGTGGACTATTGTGTAGAATTACATGCATATTTTAAAAGATGGTGATAGGAAAGAGGAAACAAAGTCATAGATATCAAAGAACAATGACCAAATAAATGGGAAGATGGTACACCAAACATGTCAACGTTGAAGATGGTGCAAGCTGACTAGAACAGATGGTAAACGAAATTTTTAATATCTTCGCCCCTTACATCGGCTTAATATAGAATTTGACATTAAAGTACAAACTTGGTGTTTATATAGCCATAAGAAGACTCCGCAACTGTGAGTGATTGTGGAATCTTCAATGTGGCACCTCATAGAGATTGAGAATAGTGTGATTTTCTCTGCATTAAACAAAAATACAATGAGCGGAACTAAATATAATGTAATTTTGACAAGGGGTCAGAGTTTTTATGTATATCTATATCAAATAAATTTACTTTTCATTTTCTTCGCAATGCTCATCACCGTTAACCAATGTGTATGACGTAATGCAGTCAATTAACGGGCCTAAGATACAAACATACGATAGTACATATCCTTTAACTGACGTTATAACACATTGATTATATAGATACTTGAATGACTTCCCATTAATCTAGATAACACTATCCCTGATCATATCTTTAATTGTTTCAATTTTATTACATACTTGCCAACTGCTAATGGTATTTAAATAGGTTTACAGCAGTGTTAATTATGTTATGTGTAGAATATAACGCATTCCATGTAACATTTACTTTTAACAATACATCGTTTTTTCATATCAAACAAAGCTGTTCTTTGGTAAACTAGGAAGGTAATAAACATTGAAAATATTTGAATCGTCAACCTAAAGAGCTAAAATAGAAATTGTCTTTATTAGGAATAAAGAATTATCATGGAATTATCTTTATCATCAACATCGAGCATTGTACTAGTATATGATGAAAGCAAAGATATGAGTTCAGAACAACTGGCTGAATATCTTAATGAAGATATAAGGAAAGTGGTGTTGCCAACTATCATCTTTGTTGGAATCGAGATGCTGCTTGGATTTATCGGGAATCTTCTCGTTCTTTACGTGTTTAGCTTCCGCTACCGTGTGTGCAATTACAAATACTTTGTTTTAAGTCTTGCAGTAATTGACATTTTCACAACGGTTACTACAATGCCTGGAGAGATCATTACTCAAATTTATTGGTACGTTTACAGTGCCCCTTTACTCTGTAAAATGAAATCGTTCTGTAATGTGTTCACACTTACTGCAGAAGCATTATGTCTCTTAGCAATTGCGGTGGACCGTTACAGAAAAGTATGTCAACCATTAGCATGGCAAATCAAAGCGCAACAGACAAAATTTATTTGTCTTATCATACCTCTCGTATCAGCTTTAGTCGCTCTACCAACCCCTTTTCTTTGGGGTGAACGTACCTTAACGAAAACATTTAAAAATATCACGGGGGAAGTAACAATATGCGAAAAGGATGAAAAATTCGAAACGACAAATTATCCTCTTATATATATATCATTGGTAAGCTGTGTGATTACGTCCATTCTGCTGTCAATGCTTTGTAGTTATACGTACGTTCTCGTAGCAATTATAAAAGAAAGGCGACTACATAAGACTATGAGATTAAAACAGAACATAGACACAAATCCTGGTGTACTAGAGGTCAGTGATAAAGCAACCGATACGAGTGATGTTGAGAAGGAAGATGTATCAGCTTCAAGTTCGTCACAGCAGCAACTGAAAATTAAACATGTTTTGACCCCATGGAGGCTCAATTCGACAAGGCTGGCGAGGAGAAAACGAGTGCGTAGCAAAACGATGATAATGTTTAGTGTTACTTTGGCTTTTATCGTTACAACCATTGTTTACTTAATTTTGGTCTCAATTATCGCCAGCTCGGACGATATTCTACAAACATTAAGCGATGTTAAGAAGGCAGTGTATTTCTTTTTCTTGCGTCTATATTTTATTAATCACGTGATCAATCCGTTTATTTATGGTGTAATGGATCCAAAATTTAAAGAATCTTTGATGTTGATTATAAACAGAATTACATCAAGAGTATAGCTTTATTTCTAAACTAATGTTAGAATTAAGGTGAAATTGACAGAGTGTGTGAACGAGGAGTAATATTTTGTTATATATTTGTATGAACTTATGTTAGAATAAAGGTGAAAAACATTGTGTGTACGAGAACTCATATTTTGGTACATGTATATGTGTGTATTGAACTTGTAATAACGTTAGATTTTAGGTAAACTTGACAGTGTGTGAACGAGGGCACATATTTTGTTATATGTGTGTATTGAACTTATGTAGAATTAAGGTAATTTTGACTGTGTGAACGAGGACACATATTTTGTTATATGTGTGTATTGAACTTATGCTAGAATTAAGGTAATTTTGACAGTCTGTGTTCGATCAAGGACTCATCTTTTGGTTTATGTGTGTATATTGAGCCCATGTTAGAATTAAGGTGAAATTGATAGGGTGTGTACGATCGAAGGCACATATTTTGTTGTATTAGTGTATTATATTTATATTATAATTAAGGTGAAATTGACTGCGTGTGTACGGGGAGGTATTTGCAGGTATATATGGTATATAAATGCAATTTGAACTGTATATACAAAATGTAACAGAAATGGACAAACAAAACATATTCATACTGTATATAAATTTTTAAATACATGATATTCAAAGCAAAGATGTTTCGTTAATTTTCTTATACATTACTGACTCTACATAGTAAATATTTACACCAATTTTGTACTAATATTAGTTCACTTCATAGTGTTTCGTATTATTTTATGATATCGTATGGTAATTTGTGTGTAAATTCAATTTATGTAGAAAAAAAACAACAACAACATTTGTTTAAGTATGCCTACTGGGCTTCTTGCCGGTAATCCTGTGTTGCTTGATTGTTTGGGGGATGCGTTCATTGAACGTCTCCTTTCCTTGTTGATCTTTGTTTCCATATTTTGCATGTACAAGTTTTTTCCTAGAAAATATGCATTGTGGAAAGAAATGCAAATAATGTTGGATCATAGCATATAAATACTGAAACCGAAAGCATTTAAAATATATTGAAAAAGAGGGCCTTAACTGTAAGTCCAAGATCGCTCAAGTGAGATCCAGTGCTAGAAAATGTAAAAAATTCTTCATCCATTGCTAGAAAATGTAAAAAATATTCATTCATTGCTGAAAATGTAAAAATTCATCCTTTGCTGAAAATGTAAAAATTCTTCATCGTTTGCTAGAACATGTAAAAATTCTTCATCCATAGCTGAAAATGTAAAGATTCTTCAAAATTCATCCTCTGCTAGAAAATGTAAAAATTCTTCACCCATTGCAATATTCTACACATGTAATAAGTGATACAGCGGCAGGCCATTTTGAACTTATCAAATCATATTCTTAAATGTTTTGTTCTTTTTTAAGAAGACAATATATATTTACAACTAGAACTGCCACGTGATGAATATCCCAACATACCACTTTGTCAGAATCAACAGTAGTCATTTAGAGGACATGTGACCTCCCTGCCAAATCTGAGAGGGTAGTAAGCCAGTGCATTGCTAAGTTATGTACTCTACATGTTTTTGGTGGCAAAAATCAAAGTGACCTTTACCTTTGACTTACTGATCTCAAAACTGAAACTGCCACTGTATGACTCGAATACCCCCCGAACCCATTCATGCAGCTTTGCCTGGGGATGTTTTATGATGAATATTTGAGAACATAATTATATGCTTCAAATGTGAAAATGTCAAAATCAATACACTGTAGCAGGCATTCCTAAGCATTAGAACAGACAACCTAATTGTAGAAAAGTCCCTGCGACCTTGACCTTTGACACAGTCATCTGTTTGTTTGTTTGTTTCATTTTACGCCTTTCCCAACAGTATTTCAGTCATATAGGCGGGTATATAGTTTCCTAACCATCGTTCCTGGATAGTTACACCAGTACTAGACTACCTTCCTCCGAGCTAAACTACCAAAGCATCCCCCAGGGATCGAACCCACGCCAAAGAGGTAACTGGATTAGAAGTCATCGACTCTAACCTCTGGACCACGGAGTCGGTTGACACAGTCATCTAAAAATCAATAAGGGTCATGTACTAGTTATAACCAACCAATATCAAATATGAAGACTGTTGACCAAAGCGTTCTTAAGCAATAGAGTGGACAAGCTTTTTGTACTAAAGGTGCCTTTAACCTTTGACCCAGTGACTTCAAAATGAATAGGGGTCACCCAATGATCATGATCAACCACCATGCCAAATACGAAGACTGTGGGTCTAAGGATTCTTAAGTTATTGGGCAGACAAATGTTTTGAAGTCAGTGCCCCTGTGATCTTGACCTTTGACCCAGTGACCTCAAAATCAATAGGGGTCACTTATATTGTCATGAATATCCTACATGCCAAATATGAAGACTGTGGGTCAAAGGATTCTTAAGTTATTGGTCGGACAAGATTTTTTAACCAAGGCCCCTGTGACCTTGAACTTTGACCTCAAAATCAAAAGGGGTCATCTACTAGTCATAACCAACCTCCATGAAAAATATGGGTAAAGGGTTTCCTAAGTTATGGGGCAGACAAACTTTTTGAAGTCAAGGCCCCTGTGACCTTTGACCAGTGAACATAAAATCAAAAGGGGTCACTTATGGTCATGAATGTCCTCCATGCCAAATATGAAGACTGTGGGTCAAAGGATTCTTAAGTTATTGGGCGGACAATAATTTTTAGTCAAGGCCACTGTGATCTTGTCCTTTCACCTAGTGTCCTCAAAATTAATTGGGGTCATGTACAAGTCATAACCAACCTCAATGCCAAATATGAAGACCAAAGCATTCTTAAGCAATTGAGTGGACAAACTTTTTGAAGTCAAGGTAACTGTGACCTAGACCTTTGACCTTGTGACCTCAAAATCAATATGGGTCATCTCATAATCATGACTTACCTCCATGCCAAATATGAAGACTGTGGATCAAAGGATTCTTAAGTTATTGGGCAGACAAGCTTTTTGAACAAAAGGCCCCTGTGACATTTGAAACAGGTGACCTCAAAATTAAAAGGGGTCATCTACTAATCATGACCAATCTCAATACCAAATATAAAGACCGTTGGTCAAAGGAATCTTAAGTTATTAGGTGGACAGGGAAAATCTACAGTAGGACGGATAGGCGGACAAGCTTTAAGAACTAAATGCCCCTGTGACCTTGACCTGGTTACCTCAAAATCCCTAGGGGTTATCTACTAATCATGACCAATCTCAATACCAAATATGAAGACTGTTGGTCAAAGGATCGTTGGACAGAAAATATTTTTTTAGTCAGGGCTCCTGTGACCTTGACCTTTAACCTCAAAATCAATAGGGGTCAACTTATAATCATGACTAACCTCCATGCAAAATATGAAGACTGTGGGTAAATGGATTCTTAAGTTATTGGGGGACAATCTTTTCAACTAAAGGCCTGTGACCTTGACCGGGTGACCTCAAAATCAAAAAGGGTCATCTAATAATCATGAATAACCTCAAAGCAAAATATGAAGACTGTGGGTCAAAGGATTCTTAAGTTACTGGGCGGACAAGCTTATTTTAGTCAAGGCCCATGTGACCTTTGATCTTGTGACATCAAAATCAAAAGAGGTCATATACTTATCATGACCAATCTCAATACCAAATATGAAGACTGTGGGTCAAAGGAATTTTTAGTTAAGTCGGACAGACAAGCCTATAAGCCTATTCAAGTATACCCCCCTTACAACTTTGTTGTGCAGGGGTATAAAAAGTAATCCCCAGGAAGGGCCTTAATATGACCTCAAGGTCAGGATTTACATGACTTTTGTAGAGGACCAAACACTTTTTTTTCTTATTTTTTATTTGTGCGAACCAAAACAGTTTAGGCCCTGGAAAAATGATTTTGGCTAACCTTAAGCTTTACAAGTTTTAAGCAACACCAGGGGTCAAAAACACCTCATTTTGCTGGAGCTAAGAAATGTATTGACTCCATTTAGTCGCCTCTTACGATCACGCAGGGTTAAACGGCTGCTGCAAAACTGATGCCTCAACCTGTAATGGCAGCCCTTCAGCCACAAGGGGACACATGCTCTGTGTGTTGCAGTTTCTAAGGAGATGTTTAAGATGTGCTCGCTTTGTTGTGCATCAGACCTAATGCATTTCTATACTCTTATAAATATACTTTTTAAATAGAGACACCTATAAATCATTTCAATAGTTTGTTCAAAAACCAAAGAGGTGCAGGGGAATAGATAACAGACCTTTTTTAAATCTATTTCTTTCAAATATTTATTCAATTTCATTGAATAATATAAACATAGATATGCAAACTATCTCTGAATATAAATGATGAAAATAAAAGTATATTAACATACAAAACTTATAGTACCTTAAACATATGAAAACTTTATTATCCTTATCTTATACATGTATGAATATTTCAATATTGTCAAAGGAATGATACATTCCATGCTGTTCAATCTCAAATTTTACATTAGAATAATTAATACATAGCTATCATCTTCTCTTTTTTAAGCTAGAATTTATTCCTTATGGATTTCATGTATAGAACTAAAAACAACAAAAACAAAAACCCAGCAGATCAAATTATTCTTTTTAGTATACAAACTTTCAATCACAAATACAAAGTAGCATGTAGATTCTATTTCATCCCCAGCCAAAAAATAAATTGAAAGCTCAAACAAAGACCTTCTAAATCATTCGGATTCCACTAATAAAAGGTTGCAATTATGATTTATCCAATATATTTCATAAAGATAGGCTTGGCTTGAACTTTAAAGTTATACAAAACTGGTAAATTTGTTGTCTTTCTAGTTTTACTGGTGGAGAGATTCTTCAGGCTCACCTTAGAACATTCATTCAAGCACAAATGAGCCATGTCACGACAAAACCAACATAGTGCGTTTGCGACCAGCATGGATCCAGACCAGCCTGCGCATCAGCGCATTCTGATCAGGATCCATGCTGTTCGCTATCAGTTTCTCTACTTGTTAAAAGGTTTAAAAGCGAACAGCATGGCTCCTGATCAGACTGCGCGGATGCACAGGCTGATCTGGATCCATGCTGGTTGCAAACACATTATGTTGGTTTTGTCGTGACAGGGCTCAAATGAGACCATAAACCTTCCATAAGCTAGTTTTCTGCTTTCTTTTATCCAATGAACATTTGAATTAAGCCAGCCAACAGTACAGAGCCTGGTCAGACTGCATGAATGTGCAGGCTATGCTGGCAATACTGGTGGCAAAGGCTAACAGATCACTTTTAATATCTGGATACTGTTTTAATTAACTGCATGATTTTACATATACATAAGTCAGTTCTTGATTTTAATGTCAATTTGCTGTACAAAAAAGATGTTTTATGAACCCAAACAAAATTTTTTATGGATTTTATGGACCTTAATCTAAGTCCTTATATATAACCATTGGTCCCTTTTTACTTCAAATTTTTTAAAAACAAATAATTGGTCCCAGACACCAAATGGTCAAACATAATTTTCTGATTCAAATAGACTTTAATTCATCTAACAAGACGGTATTACACAAAATTCATATTTAATTTTTTCCCCAGTTTTTATCTACAATAAAATTATTTCATATTTAATACAAATCAACCATGTAAAGTTACTTACATCAAGGACATAATATTCTGCTACCAAGTAAAAATCAGC